CACACACACACACACACACACACACACACACACACACACACACACACACGGGGAATCAGTTTTCCATCACAACATCCATTATTATCGTGTCGTTATGGCCGCATTTGATTTACTGATTTATATGCTTCAAAATGGATCATACCCAGTGTCAGCCACCATGCTGCCCGCTGCTGATGTGTCCTTGAGCAAGACAAAGTGGATCTCTGCCGGCTGCAGGGAGGCTGGTGTGTGACTGACCATGTGCTTTGCCCTTCTCTAGTGAGGAGGGAAAGACAGAATCATTATTCTTCATCATGATTAGGAATCAGACGCTCTATTTTAAGCTTATAATGTGGCCAATAACATGATAATGAACGGTTATATAGAAGACATATACTCGAATAAACTCGTATTAGTTAAATAAAATGACTCATGATGTATTTCAAGTTATCTCAACTCCCTAACAACAAACAGTTGGTGCCTGTTTGGCTCAGTGTGGATGTAATGTCGCTCTGTGCCCTGAAGGGGCAGCACATCAGCGCTCTAAAGCCGAACTCCGCACTGTTTGTCCCTTTGGCGCTGCTGTAGTCCGCACGGCGCGATTAACTTGAAGTATGCTTCGAGTACGGAACCGTGAAGTGTCATAACAGCGTAGCGTGTACTTCTATTCGGTTGTTTGGAAACACAACGCAAGATAATTGACTTAAGTCTAGAGGACACACTACAAGGTACGTTTTGTGACTTATAAAACGACGAATAACGGTTACTGTTGTTAAAACTAGTTAGCTAGCTTGAACCAGCTAGCTAACGTTAACCGTTAGTGTTAGCTAACCAGCTGTTTGTGTAGCGTTACAGTAAGCTGTTGACATCCACTACTATGTGTTTACCTGGCTGACCCATGGTGTGTTTCCAGGCTCCAGTGGTCCGTGTTTCCACCGTGTTGAAGATGTGCTCTCTGGCGTTGTTCCCCGCTCCGCTGCCCTCCGGACAGACCACTCTGTGCGAGTCCAACAACGAGCTGCTGTCAGGAACCGCCACAGACCACCGACTGAAACAGGTCTGATTCAGAGCAGAGAGTATTTAGACATGACACATAATCCCTCGTCGACATCACAGCACGACAGTAAACCAGAAGACAATCCTGTAGCTAATGTGCTGTAGTTAAAACAAAGTGTGAATTCCATGGTTGTGTGTTTTGTCTGCAGGAGTCTAGTCCTCTGGGTTTGTATTTCCCACGAGAGTCTCTGAAGCTCCACTGTCGCACAGAAAGCAGCAGCAAGGCGGCCTTCCTGGACCACTCTGAGACACTGTGGATGAGGAGTGCAGCAGCCTGGTAGGACGGACACGCACACACACACACACACACACACACACACACACACACACAACAGGTGTGGGAAATACAGCATACATTGACACACTATAAGTCATATCACAGTATATTGTAATATCAATAATTTGTCCCACGTCTTTCACAGACAAAGATAATTTATGCAACTTATCTCTGTCCATTTCAGGCGGGACGGTGGTTTCACAGGACTACTCGATGAAATTACCAACTCAAATACAGAAGGTGCTCAAAAATCGTCCTTTTTTCTGATCTTATAGATCCATTGATGTGTTTATACTTTAACTCTCCCGTATCTTGTGTTCTCGTAGTGCCTAAATGTCTGTCAGTGAGTTCTGGTTTTACACTGGCGTTGCTGCGATGGTTCTCTTCCTTTCACGGCTCCCTGTTCCCTCATCTCACAGTAAGTTGTGCCTGCTGGTTAAATGTGTCGTTGACAGCAATACAATTGATTGCCAGATGTTTGTTGTGATGCATTTAAATGTGTATTACCTGTTTTTCGTTTGTTCTGTAGTTGAGCAGTGACGACATGCACGCTGAGTTTTCACAAGTGCTGAACTGGTATGTGCCAACTTTGTGATCTGTAGTTAAATTTTTGTTCTCAAATGATTGAAGATATTGTTTATTATGACAAACTGGTGGTGAGCAGACATGTTGATGAAGACCTGGCAGTTTAGTATAAATTAGTATAACTGGAGAGTAATTGCTCGAACAATTTGTTGATTAATCTTTTGTTGATCAACAGAAAATTGATACGCAGCAATTTTGACAATCTTCAATCAGTGATTTAAGTGACTTTTTTCCACTTGAATCCCTCTTGCTTTATCAGGTCTGACTGTGTGGTGCGAGCCTTTGCCTGGCATCCCCATGCAGATAAGTTTGCTGTAGCCCTGCTGGACGATTCCATTAAGATCTACAACCCCAAAAGGTATCGTAACTCGGCTCTGAAGAAGGCGCACAGTTGCCAACTATGGGCAGTAAGGCATACCATCTGGCAAAAACAAAATTAAACTCTCCGAGATATCTCCTTGTGTAGTAGCGGCCGAGTGGTGGCGATACATCAGCAGTGCGTGTGTGTACTGGTAGTTCTGTCAGCAGTTAGCCAAAACAGTAAAAGTGTGTAAATAATAATGAAACTGTACGTCTCCAGGACAGTCTCAAAACACAGACCTAAAATCTGACCGCATGTCAGCCTCATAGAGCAGCGTTGTTCTTTGATCTCTCCATCGGTCTGTGACGGTGTTATTGTCACTGCCTCATGTCTCTCAGTGCCACCACCCCCACTCTGAAGCACCGTCTCCAGAGGAGTGTTGCAGCAGTGCAGTGGAAGCCGCTGTGTGCGTCCGCCCTCGCTGTCGCTTGTCAGAACTGTTTGCTGGTCTGGCACGTGGACCCCTGCTCGCTGTCGACCAGGTACGTACGCTCCAGTGAACCTGCACGTCTTGAGAAGTCTTCAGATTACTGGATTCAGTTCCCTCAAAAGCAATGAAAAAGTTACTCCTATCTATTTTTGCATGTGGTTGCTGAATGTTGTGAGTTGTTATGCATCTCTAAACTACAAGTGCGACTGTGGATTTTGCATGCAGGAGGCTGTTAAATCTTTTTTTGTGTAGTCAACATCATCGGGCCTGTATCAAACACTGTCACTACTTCTAGCTTCAGTAATCAGCCAATTTTTAGGCTTTTACCCATCGTATAAAAGGCTGTTGCTAACATGAGGCTAAATGAGACTACAGAGGTTGACGTGATATCAAACGTCATCATGCCGAACACGGAAACTCACTAGTGCCCCTTTACAGCCTCGTTGTGTTTATACCCGCGCTCTTGCAAACTTTTCTAACTTGTAGATTCGTGGAAAGACTTTTGTAAAAGAGGTGAGCGCACAAAATCAAACTACAAGTTGGAAGCTTAGTGGTTTCATAGCCTCGTTTATAGCCTAATGTAAGCTTTTTACATCTGCTGATTGCATTAACGCTTCTAAAATCATAAAAGTGTTATTTATGGAGATTATCTTGCTCCTCTTTTTCCTGCTGTGATTCTAAACCATGATACAAACCGAACCGTGAGGTTTGTGATCCGTTTCCCCCCCCCTATTAGATTCATGCTGTAATAAAAAGGTCTTAACTGTCTTTTCTTGTGCTGTGCTCTTCATCCTCTCGACCCATCCAGGCCTTCGTCCGGTTGTGCTCAGGTTCTGTCTCATCCTGGTCACTCTCCTGTCACCTCCATCGCCTGGTCTCCAAGCGGGTCTCTCCTCGTGTCGGCCTCGCCCATGGACACCGCCATGATGGTACGAGGCGACCTCCTCATCCTCGAGTCTTAATTCATGTCGAAAGAAAGTGCTTCACACAGTGACTGTTGTACCTTTTGGCATCCATGTGTTTCAGGTTTGGGACGTTGCTTCAGAAAGCGGTGTGCCACTGCAGCGTGTTGGAGGAGGCGGGGTCACCTTCCTGTCCTGGTCCCCTGATGGCAGCCATGTCCTGGCCTCTACACCGTCGGCCCTGTTCAGGTCAGACGCAGCATGTTTTATAATCTACCTCCCTTTTAGCGCTGCTGCAGCACTTTTCATTTATAAGATATCTAAAGCTGCCAGTGAACATGTGTCAAATCTTCTGTCATGATCAGTGCGTGTGGACTCGAGACAATTACTGGATTATAATAGAGGCCCACTCACCTGTCATGAATATTTATGAACATGTAAGGGATGAGTGACTTTGTCTGGAGATTAGCAGCTGTTAAAAGGTAATTGAGTGGACAGAAAGTTTAGTTTTTACACATGGATGAGTAATATTTCTTTCTTCAGGGTTTGGGAGACCAGGATGTGGACCTGTGAGCGTTGGCCGTGTGTGAAAGGGCGCTGCCAGGTGAAAACTTGTCACCACATTTCAACGTTATTGCTAAATTAGGTACTAAATAATTTTCTAAATCATGTATTCATGAAATAAGTACGCGCCTGGGGTTTTTTTTTTTTTTTGGGGGGTAGTCCGGCTGTTGGAGTCCAGATGGGAGTCGACTCCTCTTCGTCGTACAGGGAGAGACGGTCATCTACGCTCTGACCTTCAGTGATGCAACAGGTTATCCGTCTTTACATAAAATAAATAGTTGTGTTGCAGAATATACAACCTGGTTGGTAATTGATGTGCAGGTTGAATTGTTTTCTTGTAAAGTTTGATGAAAAAATGAAGTAGATTATGTAAATTGACCTGGATGATGATGATGATGATGATGTTGTTCAGCAGGCGTACCTACATGCACATCTAAGGGGCCTCAGGCAGCAGCAGTGGTGGCTGACCTATCAGAGACCACCTTTAACACTCCAGACGGAGACATCATGTATGTATTTAAACTGAACTGCTTAAAAAAACAGTGATGAACAACGTGTTCAAAAAGGCTCCGAGACATTTTGAAGCACCTTGTTCACAAAAACAATGAATCTATTCCAGCATGTGATGAGCACAAATCAGCAGGCAGGCAGGATTCAGTGCTGCTTGACTTCATATTAGCAACATTACAGCTACTTAGACTCACTCACTGTCTAATTTGTCCTCCAGTGTTGGTGGAGAGATCCAGTCTTTATCCTGGGACCCAACAGGAGAGAGGCTGGCAGTGCTTCTCAAGGGTTTGTCTCACTTTTCTTCTGTTCACCCCGATGAACCCAATCAGTATTACATCGGTGTTCCTCTCAGTTTTAATAACTCATCTCAGTCTCTGCGTCTTATCTTTTCTCAGGTGATCCACAGGCAGCAGACCGGCCTGCAATCATAGCCGTGTTCAAGACGAGAACCAACCCCATTTTTGAGCTTTTACCTTGGTTTGTACTTTAGTGTTTTATATTTGTGTAGCTTTAGTAGAACTCAAAAGTATTGCATTTCTCAGCGTAGTACTACAAGTGCTGAGTGTTTGTTGTGTTTTAGTGGTTTTGTTCAAGGGGAGCCTGGCGCAGAGCCGAGACTGATGCAGTTCCACCCAAACTTCCAGCACGGAGCTCTGCTCACTGTGGTCAGTTTCATACGATAAATTCATGTTCTATTTCAGTCAGCCATAAATAGAGTTTATGCAGGTCTGGAAAGTCTTCGAACAGGTGTTAAGTTGCTTTCTATGTAACATATCTCTCTCTGTGTTCTCAGTGTTGGTCCAATGGAAGAATTACCCACGTGCCTTTCTACTTCCTGAGTGCCGGCGTCCCACATTTCGGCTTCAGCGGCAGTCCGTCACTGCCGCGCCCTCAAGAGCGGCCTGCAGACTTTGCCAATCAGTCGCTCTTCACAGAGCTCCTCTCGTGACCGACCCTCACCCACCAGCACGCGCCCACAAGTCATTTCTGTTATTATGAATTATCAATAAATGTGTAAAGTTACTGCTAAACTGAGACTTGTTTGCCTATATTGTTTATATCACTTGAACCAAATAGACACCGTTGTGAGAAAGCTGAAACATTTAACCTTTAAGTTAAAAGACTACTCCGATGATTTACGCATTACATTTTTATAACATCGTCTCAATGGACAGCTTGTTAATTGATGCAGCAGAGACGTCTGCATCGTCCAAATCTTTTCTTTGTACTAGTTGTTAGTGGGTTTTTATTGTAGTGTGTTCACACTGGAAACGTGACCAAAGATAGTATTCACAAAGGAGATAGAATAAATACGAAATCTGCTCAATTCTCCCACAATGCAATGCACATAAGAAATGTAGGAGCTAATATATTGTGGGTGGTCTTGAACCGGCTACAAAATATCTTGGAATATCTTTTTAAAAAGTCACACATTGACAACCAGTGTGACTGTGACTAAATACTGATGAAACAGTATTTTTGTTGTTTTAGAATTATGTTGTATGGATTTGTTACAGCTTACTTTTTTTATTCCATGCATTCAACTACATTACCAACAATGCAACTCAACCGCCAACAGCTCGGTCTAGCAGCTAATGTCGCCTCGAGCTGAAATGAGGAGCAGCTACAGAGTTCTGGTTCGATCACTTCTTTCTAACTTCAAACCTCTGATTTTTTTTTTTTCCAAAATTTTTAGTCATCAGCCCCAACGTGCCGTCACTTGAGTCAGTTTATCAGATGTCACGCAGCTCTCTTTGATCCTTAAAATAAGCTATACAACAGTTCCAATGCTCCAGTCCTAATTTTTATTGCCATTGTTTTTTCAGAAAATGAATAACTAGCATATTTCTGTCAGTCGTAACTTTTTATCTGCATACGTATGAAATTGTACGTTTATGGCACATAATATTTGGAATAAGAATATGTTGCTGTGAAGTCAAGCTTTTATTACTCAGGACAGACCGGAGAGGAAGCTGGCCACAGTACAAGATGCTGATGCATCATTACTCTACAAAATACTAGATTCCAGTCAATAAAATGTTCTTTATTTATGCCTATTAGTTGAGACAAAACAGGAGCCATCTACGCCCAGCCCCACCCTGACACCGCAGAACAAATACAGTACGTCTGTTCCTGTTGTTATGAGATTCTCTCATGTGAAAACACACACTTGCATCACAGTCTTTAACTTTCACACACTCGCACACACAGACTATGCACTCACAGTCAAGAGTAACAAAGGATAACAAACAAAAAAAAAATAAAACATTTAAGCACACATGAACGGTTCTGGTGAAAGAAGAAATACGTTCCCACGCCATTTCTGTTTTTATTCAAAACTCAATTAAAAATCAACTTCATTCTTAATTCGGTTTACCTTTTATTTTCCAATTTACATCAATTAGAAGTGTACCAAAATAAAAACAAAAATGATCATAATAAAATTAATTTAAAAAATGTACACGCCCTCACACACACAGAGACAACCCACCCTGGTTGTTTTTTGAGCAACCGTCCTCGGTCGGCCTCTGAGTATCCCGTCTCCCCTGTCTCACCCCGACTGCACCCCTCCTCCAGGGTGGAGTGTGAGTGTGTGGTGTGAGGCTAGTGGGAATTGGGGTATGGGTGGGGTGGGGGACTGAATTACAGAACTCATAGCACCTTCTGAAGAGAGAGCAACCCAAAGCAAAGATGGCCATACAGCCCCAGATTCCACTGAAAGCAAATTTTTGGTCAGCGCAGATTTAAACTCAACATTTTCACTTTGTTTTTCAGCGTGAGGTAGCTTTAAACAATCTGGATGACTACAATAAAAGAAATCAAAACAAATTTCCCTCAAATTCTTTTGAAAACAATTTATGGATGAGAACTGGGCCTTGCTCTGATGTACATCCCAAATGTAACCTCACTTTCCAAAAGGTGTTGGTGTGCATAAAGACACATGTACACACATAATGTGGAAATATATATATAAAACCATCTGGTTGTTTATAAACACAGACTTTTACAACAATAGAACCAAGGATGTATAATACACAGTAAAGGTTTTACTCCCGCTCACGATGTACAAGCCTGGAGCACCTGGATTTGATTTTACTGAGGATATTTATTTTGGTCTACACTGATTCAAAATGCCGTATTTGTGTGTCAGGAGGGAAACATGGAGGGAGGTGGAGTAGGACTGGGACAGAGGCTGCGCGGCTGTTCTGTAGTGGAAAGGGGGCTTGTCTTACTTACAAAGTAAACCCGTCCAGTCCTACCTCAACTCTGCCCATTCGGGTTAGACAATAAATAAGTGACATCAAGTCATGTTTCTGTTCTCCATAACTTGTTCGCTTGGTCCCTCTTCCTCCTGGCTCTGACTCATTCCAGTCAACAGTGGGCCATGGGAAACATGACTGGATCTCAGGAAGCAGGGTTGACAGAGAATGCTGGTGTGGTGTACAGATATTGCCGGTGCCCTTCAGCGCTAACATCCAGGGAGTACAACTTGGAGAGCACTTCGTTGTGAGAGGAAAAAGTATCAATTTTCTTTTATAATTTCCAGTCTTCTTTATTGTGGAAGTGTGTGTGTAATGTTTCATGGTTGAGTTTATTTATTTCCTGTGTTTTCTTTGGGGGGCCATTGTGATATTCCACTTTACAAGAAGCAGACTGAGCCTACTTCGACTCCGAACTCCTGATCCGCTCCGCCGATGTCCATGGGAGCAATGTCCACGATTGGCAGACGGGAGGTCTTCTGTGTTTTGTACTCAAAGACAGTCTTGCCCCACCGGCTTGTATGTTTCTGTTGGTTGAGAGTACAGGAATGTGTTAACAGCAGTCACATAATACAATGACAATATATAAAACACAGGAAAGATTCATTCTTCCTGGCTCTATTTTGCAGAAGCCTCACCTTGCAGCCGTCCTCCAACACGGTGTACGTGAAGCGACTGGTGCCCTCTGCGCGGATCTCCACATCGTTGGAGCCCTGCAGCTTCAGGGCCTTCTTCAGGTTGCCTGTGGCCTGGTCCAAGTAGGCTACGCTGTTCTTGCAGTGGTAAGTCAGGTTCTGGGACGCTTCGGTGGACAGAAGCCTCAAGAAGGTCAGCTGGATGCTGCCAGTGTTGGCAATGGGGCCGTCATCAGCGTAGTTGAACTGCACAACCGCGGGACAGGTCAAAGGGAATTCATTAGCAAGCTTTCACGTTTAGGGATCGTTAAGTTCTACTTCAAGATCAGTTTAACGGACATTATCCGAAGCATTGTATCGTTAAAGTGCACTCACGTGGAATCCTCCGTTCATGGTCTCTCCGAACCAGACGTGTTTGCGGTCATTGCCCTTGCTGGTCCACCAGTTCTTCTTTGGTACCTCGGCGATGCTTGCGGAGACGCAGGTCTCTCCGCTCTCCATGTTGCAGAAGACCTTGATGGCATCAGCTATGCTGCCGATGTTGGGGTCAACCCAGTAGTTACCTGGAGAGATGAGAGAGACTTGGGTTAATAAAGAGCGACGCCTGTTTTTATTCTAGCAAAAAGCATATATTAGCATTTCTAGATCAGGTTTGGACATCAAGGGATCTGTATTTTGTTAAAGATGAGAGGAAAGCTGATCTTGTTCACAGAAGTAATGACATTCCTGTCTTGGTTTTATACATTTTCACACCAGGATGTAATAATATAATTTTTGAGGTGTTGTAGAAAGACATATCTAAAAGAGAATAATTCATAATTTGCTAATATGCATTCACCAGTTAAGAACATTTTAAGGCAAAATGAGGCACATCAGCACACTTTCATTTCTTCACATCATTTTAGACTCCCCGGCCTACTCACCACTCTTCCACTCGGGGTGGCACAGTTTCAGGTCTCTGCAGGTGCGAGCAGGGTTCTTCTGGCTGCCGTCGGGGCTGCGCAGGTTCTCAATCTGGCTGTTGAGTGTCTTTAGTGTGGAATCGACCTCCACGTCATGCTGCCTCAGGGAGCTGGAGGCCTCATCGGCCCTCATGTACCTGAGAGGATCGGGGGACTTCTCGATCTGACCCAGACCAGCGAAGGCCGACATGTCGATGCCTGGGCCAGGAGGACCAGGTGGGCCAGGGGGTCCGGAGTTACCAGGAGGACCCTGTTAGCAGGAAATGGATCAGGTGGGCATTCCGGTACAATCAGGTGTAGAGAGACAGCGTTGAAAAAGGCCAGTAGAAAGGCTCAGTGGAGTTTAACTTATATTTAGGACATGTTACGTACAGCAGGACCAGATTCTCCAGAACGTCCACGAGGTCCAGGGGGTCCAATGGGGCCAAGCTGTCCATTTGATCCATCTTTGCCAGCAGGTCCGGATGGTCCAGGTGGTCCCTATAGAAACAGCGAGTGTAAGTGAACATGTCTGCGTTTATCTGAAACATTACTTTATATTACGAACTTGTGCTTTCTATTCAAAGTGTGGAGCTGTGCCGGTTACTTATTTTTAGATCCATCATGCAGTCTGAATAAAAATCTGATTAAGCAATTCAAATGTGCCAGCAGTTCCTCTCTATTACCCCAATCACCCCCAAACCCTTCTGCCTTATTATGCATGAAGAGTATTTGTCTGGTGACATTTCTCTTCATTTTCCTTATCGGGCTCAGCGCTTAGCTAATCTAGAATAGATATTGAAGTCCATTTCTGATCTCAGCAGGAGCGGTTTCACAAATCGCGGCCCCTCCTGTCCGTCTGCCTCTTCTCTGAGCAGAGAGTAATTACGAAATGCCTCAGCCGCCCCTCTTATCGCAGCGGTGGGTAATTAAAGCACGTGGCCTCTCCTGTCCCCGTCTTCTTCAGGTGATTTGAGAATTACAAAAAGACTAACCCGTGCCCTTCATTACCATCACATATCTGAGGTGTTAAAGCTGCAGGATGGAAGTGGAAAAAGAGTTTTTTCTTCTCTTTCGCTTATTGCTTCTTTTTTTTTTCGCGCTCTGCTTTCTTACCTTAGCTCCGTTTGGTCCGGCAGGTCCGGCAGCTCCAGAATCTCCAGAGGAACCCTGTTAGGACGAGGACAATGACAGATTAGATGGCAGAGCAGACAGATCAGAAGTGGTGTGGAGCAGGGGTGAACTATTAGATGTGGATTACTCACAGGAGGTCCGGGAAGACCCTGCAGACCAGTGAAGCCACGGTGACCCTTCTGTCCCCTTTCTCCAACCTCACCACTCTCTCCCTTGTCCCCACGTGGTCCTTGGGGTCCCTGGAGTAAAGGTTTAACATGTATTAAAATGCATGGCTGCCTATGTGTAGCACTCTTAATTAGCTAAATCAAATTAAAATAAAAACATAATAGTATTGTTGCCATTAGAGATGGTGATACTCACAGCCATCCCTCTAGCGCCGCTGGCTCCAGAGGGCCCTGCGGGTCCTTGAGCGCCCTAAAGAAAAGAAACAATAGTGTGGGTCAAAAATACGGATCGATGCCTGACACTAGGTCTTCTGCCTGTGGGCCTTACAGGATGTTGCGTTACTTACGCCCTCTCCTCTGTCTCCCTGCTTGCCGAGGGGTCCGACAGGTCCGGTGGCACCGGGGGCACCGGGAGCTCCAGGGGCGCCAGCGGAACCGGTGTTACCTCGCTCTCCCTACAGGAGGACAACAAGGTGATCAGGAAAACAACAGATCTAGTCGACTTTAGT